TTAAATCATTTTGTTTCTAATTATGAAGAAAAAGAGTTTCAACTATTCAACAAAACTATTAATATTTAATTGAGAATTTTTCAGTAGGTAAATCAAAATCCCTAATATGGGATACAATTGAGTGGATATTAGATAGAAATTCATTTTATTTCATTTTAAAAACAAAACATTCGATGATAAGTTTAATATCAATACAAAGACACTTTTATTTGAGAGCTTAAACTTTAATCAACTTATCTTTTATTCTAATACAATAACAAATAAAAATGCAAAACCTCCAGCTCAAATAGTGAAAACAAGTATAACACTGATTTATAAGTTCATCTTTTAGCTTACTTTCTTCTTGTCAGGAACACGTTAGCAAACCACTAGAATGTTAACTCTCCCACATACATATCTAAATACAAATTTCTATCAGATATATTATCAATAGACAACTGAGAGTTAACCTAAAAAAGAAAAAAGAGAGAACGAGAAAAATTATATGACCAAAGAAATGTTTTATAAATTTATAATTAAACTTTTGAAAAAAAAATTATTATTTCAACTTAGACTTTTCATTAAAATAAACTTATACACAAAAGTACAAAGATAGAGATACTTTGTTATTCGAAAACAGAATTCTCCGATCTACCATAATTTAACAGACACTTCAAGAGAAACATTACCGTATTATGAAAACATAAAACAGATTTTTATTCGAAAAGTATTTATAATATAATTCTTCTTTTCTTTTAAATTATTCAGAGTCAACAAATAAAGTACCGGTATCATTAGTTTGCTCTGTTCCATTAGTAAATGCCACATGGGATACATAAGGTATCATTTTTTACTAATCGAGCTGGTCTATATCTTTCGAATGAAAATAGTTTACGTTATCCACAAGATTTATTTATTGATAATGTCAATGATAACTTGTATGTGATCAATACAGCTAATAATCGTGTAAAAATATTCTTTAACTGCATCAATTGAGAATGGTCAAGGCACGATTGGTATTAAAGTCGTTAGTCGAAGTCTTATATCTGCTCAAAGTATCTTTAGTGACATTCGATTAGAAGATATGTATATCATGGATTACAATAAAAAATAAATATCAGATCCCAGAGAAAGTGTAATTTACCGTGCTCATTTATGGAATAAACATGATAAGATTGGGCGAATATTACTCAGTGAACTAGGCGAATATGTATTGGCTTATCCTTCATATCTTAGTATAGATAAACTGATGAATATCTATGTTGAAACAAGATTTTATATAAGAAAATAGTTATTATCTACAAACTGTACTCAGTGAATCCTTATCGCTGAAAATAGTAAACAGGGCAGAAAGAATTCAAATGATTTAACCATGTATATTATCGATTTGAATAATGAACGCATACAAAAATGGTTAGCTAATGCAACATAAGGTACGACACTGATACAAAATTTAATATATCTATATGGAATAACAATGGATTGTAATGAAAATATTTATTATACCGATACAAATGATCAAGCCATATATCAATTAAATATCGTTAGTAATCAAACAATAATGATTGTTGGTGATGAAAATCGTCATCATCATTGTAACGTGAGTTTTTTTCCAACTGCAATGAAACTTGATAAATTTGAGAATATCTTTGTAATTATTAATGGATCTTCATAAATAAAAAAGTTTTCGATTCTCTGAAAAAATAAACAAAATACACACATTTTTTGAAAATAATCACTTAAAAATGACAATTAAATGTTTTTCATCACTAGTCCTTTTTTTTATGAAGTTTTTTCTGATTTTTCCAATGTTAAAGTTTTCGATATAACAGCATTACTTTTTTAATGACGAATGGTTTCTTGTATCGTTCTATTTTCTAGAATTCACATGCATTTTTAAGAAGAAGAATAGGAAGCATCAGTTTTAACTAAAAGTTTTTCGGCTTCTTCCTACCATAGCAATCAAGACCAATAGGCTTTGATTGTAAAGCTTCTTCTAGTAATCGATACTACAATCACTAGATTCCTTGCCAATAGTTTCTCAGCAACGAAAAAAGGCAATAAACCTTGAATTATATATGGGTAGAATACGTTTTTTTTGGATGTTTTGAATAGGACAGTTTCTGATTTTTGCACATATGAACAATTAAATAACAAATATCAAGGATAATGACTAGTAATATACTGATTTGCTATAGTTATCATTTGATGAACAAAAAAAGCATGATCTGATCAAGTACTAACTTTCAGGAATAGTGCATATCAGTATTTTTGAGTTTATCAAGATACATAATAGCTTTTTGGTATTTGCTGTAGATTTACTGGATGGATACATATAATTATGTTTCAGGTAAACTAATCATTAGAAGAAGAAAAACAATAATAAACAATTAAGAAATAACAACAAGCCAATCACAACAAAACAAATAAAAAAAATAGAAGAATAAAAGTTCTGTTTGAAATGTCAAAATAAACAAGATCGCCACAAAAACAAAGAAGATGTTGTCATGATGACGAAAATAGGCATTTAAATATCGCTACCACTAGCATGAAATTTGCATAAGATTTCTGAAATGATTAGCAAATATAAAATATTTCATTGAATAGAACGAACAGAAGAGTATATCAACTGAAAGATAAGAAAGAAGAATTGCAGCATTTATTCATTCCGAAGTGAAACAGTCACATTCTGTTTTTTTTTAATTTTATTCAATAACTATCACTTTATCTGTTGTAATTACACAGTTGCTGTTCTAGAAATCAAAAAAGATAAAACAACTTTTAGTTTCTTTTTCATAAAGAATATACCGCTGCTTGTCCATCCAACAGTAGTTGATCAAGCTATACGATCGAAAGAATTGAGAGAAGAACATTGCGGATAAAACTGAGAACAACTATCATTATCCATTAGATTTTGAGGGTAGTTTTTCCATATTAAACCGTCGAAAAAAATTTCTAAAAGTCTAACACGTAACATTGGTATTGTTGGAAAGAGTGCAAAAAACTGAGTATTATCCTAGAATATGA